AGATTCTGTATAAAGCGAATTGATTATTCAGCTACTACTGTCATGACCTGATGGAAGTACAGACATCTTCAACATAGTAGCTTACTTCTAGCGATACTAGCACTATAATGTTGGTACGAGGATGGAGATCTGGGCTGTGTTAAACACACTATCCCTCCAGATTCCTCTGCAATATCCCAAGCACAGCAAATTGCCTCACATATTTTGACCAAGGGTTTCTGCTTTCAGTCTTGGTAAAAATGCTTTGTTCATATTTAACTGCCATAAATAGCATATTTTTGGTATTTTCTTTCAATATGCTTGTCTACTTTACAAGTGGTAATTAATGTTTAACATAACACTTTAGTAGGTGCTGTTCAGTTGTCTTATATACTGAAGAACATCATATCAAATATAACAGAGGTTACACAGGCTATAAATATAAGAGTTTTTGTTCACAATACTAATTAATGGATCTCAGTTTAATATTCTATTTGTTATTAAAATATTATGTATGAAATTGTTAAGCCAAGAATCTCATTATTCATATCTTTTGTATATAGGTACTATAAGATTGTTTATTCAATAGAAAATCTCTGTCTCTTTGGGAACTCATTATTATAAAATCAAGGTGAATACCAAAATGTACCTTTCAACATAATGAAAATAAGGCAATACAAGTACTAACTTTAATGATAAGCATTGAAATCTCAATGATATCTGGGCACTAAAGTTATGCATTATTATAATAAAAGTAATTGGAATTGTGTAGAGATGGATCATTCAATTAGAATAGTGAAATTAAGTCTTACTATTAAAGCACACCTTTGTAAATGACTGGTATCCCCATGCTTCTTATATAACATCCCATCAGAGCAACTAATTATCTAATTTTCAATATGTCTGCTTAGATTATAACCCAGGCACTTTGAAACTCAATTGCAACTATATCCATTATTTCTGAGCATGTTTAATTGCATGGTAATAAGGTTTTTAAGCACACGTAACTAAAAGGTAGAAGCTTTGAGGAAAATAAGGGATATTTATCTTAGAACTCTTCTTAGCACTTTCTGCAAGAACTGACTAACACATTTACTGACTTAATGCAACTTTGAAATACTTTTTCTTTCGTTGCTAGCATCGTATGGAGTAAATAGACCCACAGTTCCCATGATACTTTAGTCAGTGAAATACTGATATTAACACGGAGTGCTACGGAAACATTTCACACATTACACATTCTGAAGAAAAGAAAGAGCAAAGTGCAAGAGCAAATAGAATTTTATACATTAGAAACCATATAAAAGTCTATTTAAACTTGGGATAAAATTATGTGTTAATTATTACTTGACTTACCTGTAAAATACATAACTACATCCAAATGCTAATTGCATTTAAATTTTATGTCACTGAAGGCATGCTTATGAGAACCGCTGTAAAACACAAAATATAGTAGCATGCAGAGGCAGGAAAACATCACCCTCAAAAGCCTACTTTGCCCACACAAGTTCCTACTCACACTCATTTGCATGTACCCACATGAAAACATATGCAACTATTCACACAGTATGATACACACAGAGATGTGTTATTTGTTAACCAGTAATTGGCTTAAGAACACTGAAATTTAAAATACATTTTATGCAGGATGCCTTTATTTCAGTTCACCAATAAATAAATGTGACATCTTCTTATAAGTAAACATTTGACTAGCCTGTGGAGCTCTGATGGAGTAAAAAATTATTTGGGTACATATGTGTTTATGCACAGAGATGTGTGTGTGTAATGCAAAACATAGCAAGGATACATTTTATCTCCTTATTTCATCTAGTAACTTGATTTATTAAAAGAGGAAATTTACTATTGCATTTAACATAAACATGATTTAGAGGAAACAAAAAATAAGGACCACATATATCAAATAGTAAGGTGATTTAGACTTACAATAAATTTTCAGTTGAACAATACTGTAAATAACCATACTTAGGCATTTTTGTTCAAATATTTTTAAAATGATGGTTCATAAGATTTTTCCTCCTAATTATGTGGTAATATCTTGAAACTAAAATAATTTGACTGTCACATAATTTATATTATTATATTATATTACCTCAATGATGGTTGTTTATAATGCTTACTTTTAACTTTATTGATAAAATATTTCACTCGATTATATAAATAATATGCATAAAATATGTGGATATGTGGATACATGAATGCTTTTATGTGCACTTATCCTTAACTTATATCTCTCTCTTTAAATATAGGTGCTACATGTTTTCATTTGGGGAAATGAGAGGTCAGATTTTTCAGGTCTGTACCTGGCAGTGAACTTGAATGCTCCCTTAGGAAAAGGGAAGAGGTTTGCCTAATCAAATATTTTTTATATACATGATAATAAAAATCCTTCAGAATAATCTAGTCTCAATGAAAGGATGTTTAAGTCCCTAATCTTCTAAATATTGTGTAGTTCATTGTATAGGATGATTTGAGACAGACTTGATTTGAAACCATATACCTGGTAAAGAATTCTTTTAACAAATAAAACCAATAGGCTAGGCTTGAGAATCTTTCTTTCGAGTGGTTGGGCAGGATAGTCCCAGGGACTTTGTAAAAAAACATTGCCCTGAGGCAGCAGCAGCACTTGGTTGGCGCTTGGAGACTGAAGGTGAGCCCCATGCTAAAGAGACTGCATACCTAGGACACAGCATTCCAATCAGTACAGTTATCCATGGCACGGAAACCTCTTTCCTGCAGTGTTGCTTCCAATGTACCAAAAAACAATGTGTGGACCATCAAAAAGTGTCCTACCCAGCTGCAAAACTTATGAACCACAACAACGACCAGTACTGCAAGATACCCAGAACAATACAGAAAGTGGCACCCTTTTGTTGATGGTTTCTAATTAGACCAGCTGAACCTCAGTCAACATGACGTAAATCATGCCAGGTGCTAGAAACATAGCCAGCTTCCCAGGACAAGTAAAGTCATGGACATAAAAAAAAAAAAAGTGTTACCACCTATTTGCTAGTCTAGCATAGCTCCTTATTACATTCTTGATCTTATCCTTATAGTCACAGAAAGGCACAGCTGACCTCCCCATCATTCAGGGGTTTTATTTCTTTACAGCAAATAAGAACAATCACAGTAACCATATGCAGACACGACACATAAATCACCAGGTCATAGGAACCACAGCTGCATGGAGTACACCCACAATTATACAAGAATTATACATGTGTGTTTTTGGCTCAGGTAACATTTCATTAGAGGGGGCAAAAAAACGTTAGAGATTGTGTATCAGGAAGTTTGATTTGAAAGACTCTCTTAGAAATAACTGCTTAGAGAAAAAAAAAAATCCAGTATGAAATGGGAAAATTTCATGAGTTTCCACTCTTAGACAACAGCAGCAGCAACAACAACAAAACAAACTATAGGGAGCTAATCACCAATGGTAGAGGGAGAATTAGCCTCCCTCAGGAATAAGCTCTCTTAGGTAACCAAACAAAGTTGTCAAACACAAAAACAACACACACACACGCACACACACGCCCATACACAGACACAAACTTACACAGAGAGCAGGCAAGAGAGTGAAAGCAAGGAATTCATAAACTTGTGCTTCCATATTCAGACACATACATAGGTCTTTAGTAATAATAACAGCAGCAACAACAACAACAATAATAATAGAGGTTATCGATTTATGATTAAGGAAAAAGCAAGGAAGGAGTTGGGATACAGCACCTGGGAGTTATTGGTAGGAAAAATAGAAGAGGAAAATTATGTAATTCTAATTAAATATAAGTGTGTTAAACAAGTAGATAAATTGATTTATTATGGGTTATGCAATGTGATGTGTGAAAGGAGACATTTATGAGCAAACACATGTTCCTTGGTCACAGATACAGGACTTTCCAAGAAGATTCCATGTTAACTGAGTCAGAGTTCATGCACAAAGTTCTTATGTTAACTAATTCACAGTACAGCCATGAAAGTTCCATGTTAACTGAGTTAGCGTATGTCCATGAGGGCTCTATGTGAACTGAGTCAAAATGCATCCATGAGGGTTCTATGATAACTCAGTCAGAGTGCATTCATTAAATTTTCATTTTAACTGAGTTAAAGCACATCTATGGAGATTCCATGTTAACTGACTCAGAGTGCATCTTCTTTGATCACAAAGGACCCAGGAGCCTTGAGAGCCTCCTGCTACTCTTCTTTCTCTTGCAATCTAGTTTGAAATTCTTTAAAATTTAGTAAAACCTGATAGTTGCATGTCATTAACCAGTTGGAAAAAAAAAGGTGCATATTTCCCTTGTTTTACTAGGAAGACGTTTCTTAGCCAGGATATTAGTTTTTAATGTAGGGTGATACAACACAGGCTACTGAGTCCTGTTCATTCAAATGCTGGGATGATACAACATCAATATTTATCAAAATGAAAGGAAGAAAAAGAGAATTCATACATTTATCTGTGTAAGAAAAGACATTGAATGGTTTCGGTAATTATCCTAATTTATTTAGTTAATGCATTAGAGAGCTGAAAGTGTTTTTAATTCAGAAAAGTAAAATGAAATGAGAAGATATAGAAGTACTTCAGCATAGTGCATTTCATATATTATACATAAATATACATATAATCTTCTTGTATGTGTACCAGAGAATATATTTTCAACTAAATTCTGATAAACTACTAGATATTCTACTCAATTTTCTTCTATAATAGAAAATTATATAAATCAAAATATATTTGGAAATATTATTCAATTAATATAACAGTCAATATATCTATTCAAATGTTTATGTGCTATATGTTGTAGTGATAGTCAAGGACAAAATATAATGAGTAAATATAATGGAAATAAAGTTATTTTTATATTTAAAATGCTTTAGGGAAATAACTATAATTTTAAAGGTATTAAATGTCTTTATCTTATTAGAAAGCATAAATAGAAAAGGGAATCATTTTGTTTTATTGACGGAAGAACTTGCACAACAGTGTACATAAATGCACTAACCTGTTTTAGGATCTACAGAGAAATAAGGTTGTCCTTGCAGGATACTGTAAACAACTCGAGCGCTGTTTCCATAGGTGGGGTCATCTGCATCTGTCGCTGTCACCTGAAGAACAGAGGTACCTGTGTATTCAGGAAAACAAATTTTAGTGTGTGGTGGCATTTATTACATGACTCATTTGAACACAGTAAAAGAGTTTGATTAAATTTCCATGCACTGCTAAAATGACCATGTCCTATAAAATGTAATTCTCCTTTTAAGATTTATTTTCATTTTTATTTTACCTATGTGTATGTGTGTCTATATGTGGGTATATTCATGTGTAAATGCAGGTGCACACAAAGCAAGAAGATGGCACTGAATATCTGGGAACGGGAGAGGCAGTTTTAAGCAACAGAGCATGGGCATTGGGAATTAACCTCAGTTCATCTGGGAAGGTAGCCAATGCTTGGAAAAACTGAGGTAGCTGTCCAGCCTCCTGAAAACTACTTAAATTGGGAAGAAGATACGTTGTTTATCTTCTCTCCATACTATCAATAACTTTAAGTGGAACATAGGTAGGTTCGATATTTCCAAAAAAGGTATAACTTACAAATTATTAGTATAGAACTAGAAAAAATTCAAGGAAAGCACTTGCTAGATGTTGTATTATGATTCCTTATATGACAAAAAATTGAGAAAGCTTTTTGATATGTTTATAACCACAAGGGGCTTTTACTGAAGCCCATTAATCGAGTAATATTGCTTTGCTAAATCAAGAAGAGTAAAATGATGCTGCATAGCTCATGCTTTAATGCCAAGATAAGATAGTATGTGATTAATTGAGAAAATGGACAATGATATTATCATTGACACTAAACTACCTATATATATATATGTGTGTGTGTGTGTGTGTGTGTGTATTATACACAATGTCTGTACATGCACATATATATGTATATATAAACCACACACATGCATTTATTTATAAATGTATATATATATATATGTATATACACAAGGCTATTTATACATACTACTACTGGACTACTGAGTCTCAAATTACTCTCAGTCATTCAAAATGCAGTTGTTTTGTACCTTCTATACAGTATGTACATAATTGTCTTTCTAAACAAGTACTATAGTGAGTTTTTTAGTAGAAAGCACTGTAAAATAATTAATAAACATTAACATGTGTATTTGTGGTTCTAAAACTGTAGATGTGTCATCCTGGTTTCATTTTCCTTATATTCTTATATTGAGAATCACTTCCATCACTAAGTGCACATACTTCACACAGAAATTATGCTTAAATGGAAATTATTCCCAAGTATATGGCAACTACCTATTAAGGGTTATTAAACTTTATGATTAGTGGGTAAATACTACAATGTGAAATTAACTTTACAAATTACTCAGTGATGAATAACTTACCACTTGAAAAATATTATTAAATACGTCAAACTATGTGTCACACAAAATATCTCCACAACCAAAAGAACCTTTATGGAATTTTATATTAATGCTGGCTTTTGAATATACAAGTGGAATAATTTTCGGTTTTAAATTTTATGATGATTTATTAACATGCTGAAATCCAAACACACCTTTAATCAAAATTTATTATAGGTATTTAGCAGATCATAGAAATCATAAGAGAATTAGTAAAGTTCACTTGAAATTCTTTATTTGAGACATAAGTGTTTATGAATGTCTAATAACATAGTAATATCACAAAATTTGTTTCTTCAAATAGAACCTGAGGAACAAATAGAAGATGAGGACTGTGCTATGTCTACAAGTGATCCTGGCAAGGGTTCAGTGAAACAGGCAATTCACACACTAATGTGGGAAATATGTGAATGTGGCTGCCTCTCGTACAACTAAATTCACAATTATAGTATGGTCTTCATGCCAAGCCGGTAATTACATTATTTAAAAAGCTGTAAATATTTGTAGAACAATTGTTTGTCATAGTCTTACAGTGTAAATAGCCCATATATCTTTTAATGGGACAATCATTAAAGTATAGCACACTATATGAGGCTATTTAATGAAGAAAATAATGAATTGGCTTCCCATACATGCATTGGCTTGAGTAGATCTAAGTTTAAAAGGTAAATGTCACAAAATTTTATGCTGGATCCTTCTAGTCATGTGATGTTGAAGTATCAGAAATGTAGTAATATAAAATCTGAAGACAGGGACAGTGGGAAGCAGGTTTTTCTTATACGAATGGAAAACTGTACAATGTTGAAGTTGTTAAATATTTTGGTAATCATAATTCAGTGTGTGACTTATTTGCAACCATCAAATCAACAACAAATACCTGGAAGGAAATATACAGTGAGGGAGAATAAGGGATGAGTCAATAGAAAGTGTGTGAGAACACTGGACACATTAAGTGTGCTTGTGAGTAACACAGCCCTGAAAACCATGGTCTCTCATTTGTAGTTTCTGCCAGTGTGAGACAAAACACTTCTGTTAAGTAATTCACCTACTTTACACATAATGCATGCCATTAGAGTTCTGGTGAATAAATGGTAGTTGTCCTTGTTATTGACAGTTGACTCTTACCTAAATTCTGAAATTATTAACCGAGAAAAAAAAAGACTGAATAATTGCTATGATTATTGATACATAATAGATTCGTGAGTGAGGTAAGATGAAAAATCATTGTTATATGTTGATTAAATTTGGTACAAATTAATATTTTTGGAGAATCAAATATTCTTATTGTTCTACTTGTTGACATTTAAAAAGAAATTGATGAATGAGTTATATTTGTCATTTTAATAGATAACCTTATTTAAAATTCATATGAAAAAACAACATTTATTTTTGCTTGCCCCTTTTCATTTTTATTGTATGTGTTTCATGTTCGTGCCAGAAGCACATGAGTGAGGTGAGTTTATGTGTCTAATCGGTTTGTTCCTCAGCACATCTGTCTTTCAGTAGTGATCCTCTCACACTGGACTGTGCAATTCCTTCATTCAATGTTTGTTGGTAAAGTGTGTCCATGGTGAAAAAGAGAAAATTTCCAAGTTACCAAATGAAGTTTTATAAAATCAGGTCTAAAACTGTATAAATCTTTTCAGAATATTGAATCTAATAATTTCTGAAAATTGTTTTGTTTTGATTAAGACATATTAGGCCTACTTCACATTCCCTGCCTAACTGACTTTTCCTTAGAGAGATCTCGCCTACAAGTGTAAAACTATTTTCTCCCTGTAGAGTATTTCTATTGAAAACAGCAGCTCTGTAGACGTTATAGTCTGAAGTCCACAAGCCCTTTCTCACACAGTGAGTCTTTGCTCTGGCACATACTCACTGTAGTCAGTCTTCTGAGGATTAGTTCCTCTCAGCTGATGCTTTATATTAATCTGAAAATATTTAAATACATGAAAAAAGCTTTCAAAATATCTTCTTTACAATAAAGCTTAAGTCCTCTTTTTTTCCTCTGGGGAATTGACTGTGTCACTCCCTTCACTTGGCTTCTCTTTGTTCTGATGCTTTTTAAATAGCACATGTTATCAAGTTGCATATCAATGAGAAGTGACTGAGTGGACTTCTTTGAAAGTCCCTAAAGACCAATTTGGCATATTTAATAAGGCATTTTAATACTAAGCAAATACTCTTATAACTGCCAATTGCTATGCATAACTTGTCAGAGTTCACAACTCTGTTAAAATCCCAGGAGAATTGAAGCTGAACAAAAACTTTGGATAAAAATGCTGAAGATTTATGCAGGCTGAAAGAACTTCTCTGAAGGAAGCTTTTAAGGCTTACTCCTCAGAAGACTTCTTCAAGCTTTCTAGAAAAGAAAGACTTACTAAGACTCAGCATAAATTTTGTGCTACACAGGAAGACTAGAATTCCACCAACAGACTAGTAACAGTGGACTTCAATTGTTGTTATGTTCTGTAACACGTTATTCATTCAACATTTAAAATGTTTAAAAAATGTTTCTAAGATATCACTTATGAAACATCAATGCTGACAGAAAAAAAAAAAATCACTGTTTTAGGACCAGGCACAATGTTTCAGATTTCTTGCTTGCTGCAAAGCTTGATGACCTAGAATTTCCTGTAATCATACATGATGGAAAGAGAGAATCAAATCCTGTAAAATGTCTTTGGCTTCCTTATAATGCTCATGTGCATATGTATGTGAAACACACACACACATACGCATTCTATTTTTATTTTTATTTTTTTCTTCCTATTTGCTTAATTAATGACAACTTGTTACATACTTAGTGGACTAGCCAATGTGAAATTGTCAATTTCTCATTAGGCAAATAAATTTTATATGCTCTTTTTTAGGTGAAAAAAAGTAGTCAATGACATGATATAATTGTTAATAGGAAGTGGAAAAGCCATTCCTATAAGCCACTTAATTTACTAATTCAATATATATATTGAGAACGTTGTATCTAAGGATATGTACACATATATGATTTTGAGATTTGAAAAGGCCATACAATTCAAACACATCAATCTCTTCTCAAAAACATCTAAAAATTCAATTGCCCTACCGCATCATAATTTCCTCCTTTCCTTAAACTGTTCCAAACTTTCCAGTTTCTTTTATATATCCCTTGTTGAAAACATCAATCCCACTTCATGTATATCTATCTAAATTGAAGTATCTTTATTATCTAACTCTAAAGACAAAACAGTTCATATTTCCACATATGAACCCCTGAGTAGGAAATCAAGAGAAGGTATTTGTTGTCTATATGTCTCAGTACTTCTTGTTCTTCCAGAGGGCCAGGGTTCAATTTCCAGTACTCATGTCAGGAAACACACAACCTCCAATAACTGTAGATCCAGAGGGATCTGATAACTCTGGCCTTGTCTCTCTGAATACCTGAAATCACATGCACAACCTACACACTGACACATACATGTACACATACTTAAAAATAATAAATTTGAATCTTAATGAAGTTAATGACATGGTATGACAAATTGGCAGCACTGACTTTTCCTGCAGCTTTTTACAATGTGCATGATACTCTTCTTCCTATGTAGTGAATTATTATAATAAAAGTAACTGGGTTCATGATTCTATAATTAGCATTTTCCCGTGTTGAAAGATACATTGATTTGTTACTCCTTGACTTTCTTCCCAAGAATGT